GTTCGTATCTGTGCGTCGAACCTGCCGGTCCACTGGATACAAGCTTGCCAGCAACAAACCAAATCATAGGCACTCAGCCACGCACACATCAACAAAGTCTGCAAGCACACGCAGCATCTTGCATCACGGCGGTTGGTGCTTTCCCATTCTGTATTGCAGCCCCATAACCCCCCCCCCCTTCATCAACTCCTGGCCCCGCCCACCGTGGACCTTCCCGATGGCGTGGCCCCCGCCAATGAGGGCCACAGTCTCAGAGTCATTCATGCCCTGGGGTGATGACGTCATCAGGAGGGGGGGCGCAAGGTGGGGTGAGGTTTTGCCAGGGGCAAGCTGGGGGAGGGTATGTTATTGACTGCATGTTGGGTGCGTCTGGGAAGGGTTGAGCAAGGTCCGCTGACCAAGCCCCTCCCTCATTCGCTGCATGACACCCCATCACCCCTTCGGTCCCTCTGGCAGGCTGCGCCGCGGGGACGACAGGGCGGACCCCGCAGCCTCCCTGTCCCCGGGTCCCGAGGATAGGGGGCCGCGACGGCGGCACTCTGTGAATGACACTACACTACGGTACACCCTGGGCACAGCCCGCCCCCTTCCCCCCCCCTTCCCCTCCCCGAGCGCGATCTCACCATGCGCCCAAAGGTGCCGCGGATGTGTGGCACTGACTTCGGGGGTATGGGGTTGCCCAGCACGCCCTCTGGGTTGACATAGATGAGGCCCATGGTGGTCTGACCCAGGGGCTGGGCGCAGTCACCGTCACCTGGGGGGTTGAGGGGTTTTTGGGTGAGGAGGGGCCGGCAGGCGTTGAGGGAGGCGGGCGGTGGCGGGCCCTTCAGAAAATGGGGTGCAGGAGGGGGCGGCGGCGGGGCGTCCAGCGGCCGCGCCATGCGGCGGGTGGCGGCCGTCAGAAATGCATCCAGGAGGAGCAGTGTGGCGGCGTCGCGGGGAGGCAGCCCCCAGGAGTGGGATCGGCAGCCGGGAAGGACCCTCCCCACCCTCCCGACCGATAACATACACCAAAACATCCGCCATCCCCCAAAGGCGAGATGGGTATGGGGAAAAAGGCCACCAGGAGAACAGGGAGAGGGCCAGAGGGGCCGCGCACCGGGCTCGCAGGGCGCGATGGCCTGCTGCTCAGGGGTGGGCCCCAGGGCCAGGCTGGCGGTGCCGTCGGCGTCGTCTATGCGGCCGGCGCAGAACCCCAGGACGGGTCCCCCCGTGATCTCGATGGCGATGTTGCCCGCCAGGATGGTGGCGTCACCCCTGGGGGGACGGGGGGTGGG